GTGAAGGTTCTCTGTACATTTTCTAGGTCAGCAATTTCACCTGCCTTGAAAGATGCTGTTAGTGAGCAGCAATATTCTAGCCTAGATAGAACAAGTGACCTGAAGAGTGTCATCATGGGCTTGGCATCCCTAGTTTTGAAGGTTCTCATTATCCATCCTGTCATTTTTCTAGCAGATGCGATTGATACAATGTTATGGTCCTTGATGGTGAGATCCTCCGACATGATCACTCCCAGGTCTTTGACGTTGGTGTTTCGCTCTATTTTGTGGCCAGAATTTGTTTTGTACTCTGATGAAGATTTACTTTCCTAGTGTTTATCATATCTGAGTAATTGAAATACACACACACACATGTATGTATATATATATATATATATATATATATATATATATATATATATATATATATATTATAATATATATATATATAATATATATATATATATATATACGTATATGTCCTTTCCTGGCCTGTCTAAGGGCAATGTGTGATGTAAATATTATGCAGAAAATTCGGAGTGTGGAAATTAGAAGGTGTGGAGCTAATAAAAGTATTAGTCAGAGGGCTGAAGAGGGGTTGTTGAAGTGGTTTGGTCATTTAGAGAGAATGGATCAAAGTAGAATGACATGGAGAGCGTATAAATCTGTAGGGGAAGGAAGGCGGGCTAGGGGTCGTCCTTGAAAAGGTTGGAGGGAGGGGGTAAAGGAGGTTTTGTGGGCGAGGGGCTTGGACTTCCAGCAAGCGTACATGAGCGTGTTAGATAGGAGTGAATGGAGACGAATGGTATTTGGGACCTGACGATCTGTTGGAGTGTGAGCAGGGTAATATTTAGTGAAGGGATTCAGGGAAACCGGTTATTTTTATATAGCCGGACTTGAGTCCTGGAAATGAGAAGTACAATGCCTGCACTCTAAAGGAGGGGTTCGGGATATTAGCACTTTGGAGGGATATGTTGTGTATTTTAAATGTATATGCTTCTAAGCTGTTGTATTCTGAGCACCTCTGCAAAAACAGTGATAATGTGTGAGTGTGGTGAAAGTGTTAAATGATGATGAAAGTATTTTCTTTTTGGGGATTTTCTTTCTTTTTTGGGTCACCCTGCCTCGGTGGGAGACGGCCGACTTGTAAAAAAAAATATATATATATTCTAGGTAGTAGGTTGGTAGACAGCAGCCACCCAGGGAGGTACTACCGTCCTGCCAAGTGAGTGTAAAACGAAGCCTGTAATTGTTTTACATGATGGTAGGATTGCTGGTGTCTTTTTTCTGTCTCATAAATATGCAAGATTTCAGGTATGTCTTGCTACTTCTACTTACACTTAGGTCACACTACACATACATGTACAAGCATATATATACACACCCCTCTGGGTTTTCTGCTATTTTCTTTCTAGTTCTTGTTCTTGTTTATTTCCTCTTATCTCCATGGGGAAGTGGAACAGAATTCTTCCTCCGTAAGCCATGCGTGTTGTAAGAGGCGACTAAAATGTCGGGGGCAAGGGCTAGTAACCCCTTCTCCCGTATAAATTACTAAATTTAAAAAGAGAAACTTTCGTTTTTCTTTTGGGGCCACCCCGCCTTGGTGGGATACGGCCGGTTTGTTGAAAAAAAAATATATATGTAAATGCAAAACAATCACAGACAGGCAATCTTAACTATGCAAGACAAGCCACGGGAAGTGGAAATCTTTAGCTCAAGTATTTTCACACTTCTCAGTGTGCCATTAGGAGCTATGCAGTACTGCAAGGCTGCAACTGAAGGAGGGGAATTTTTCTCAGAGTAGTGGAGTGCAGGTCTGTTACCTGCTACTGGCTCTCTCAGAATGTGGGCCAATGGTCAGTGTCACACCCAGCACTACCACCATTCCCATCCTCCCCATATGGGGTAAGAGGGTTTTGAGAAGTCAACTATTATGATATTAGAATATATATAATAGTCTGCCCCAAGCTTTTTTCTAAACGTTTAGAACAGGTCATGTGACTTGAGAAAATACATAACATTGTGTATTGAGAAAATACGTTTCTCAGTGGATATTATATATATGGATTGCTATTATTCTGTGTAAGCTTTTTAATAAAAGAAAGGAAATGAATGTGCTCTTTGTCCGTTTAAATGTCTGCAGCCTTGCAACTTTGCATAGCTCCTGATGATGCACTGATAAGTGTGAAAGTACTTGAGCTAAAGATTTCCCCCCCCGTGGCTTGTCCTGCACACACACACACACACACACACACATATATATATATATATATATATATATATATTTATATATATATATATAAATATTATATATATATATATATATTATATTCTTTTCTCTGAGGATGAGGGTCCCCAGGACAGTTCTAGAGGTGGTACCTCCCTATATTTATATATATATATATATATATATATATATATATATATATATATATATATATATATATATATATTTACACACACATTTAAACACGTCGGCCATTTCCCACCGAGGGATTAGGGATTAAAGTAATCTTTACGTTTATAAGTAATATCATTACTGGTACAGGTGAATTTCAGGCAGAATGACCACTTGCTCCTGATACATGATTCAGGCTTAGCAAACTAACCATAGCCTAAAGTGTTATGCATCCTATAGGCCGTCAGATTATTGTATGGTCTGTATGTGCAGTATTCCCGAATCACAGACTTGTATCTGTACATGCATAATGTAGTGATACTGCTCCTGTGGGGAGCAGCAGCAGGATAATACTGCACCACCTCTCGGGGCCCTTAACAACAACAACAGTTTGGAAGGCCTGTGTTTCTATCACAACACATAACTAACTACACCAAAGTAGAAAACATTCTCCATGTCCATGAAGAGCCAATATTGTTGCCATGTTTGGCTGGGTGTGGCTTACGTCTCTAAGACCCTGCTTGGGGATGCCTCATATATATAAAGCAACATTCATAGCCCGTCCAGACGCCCTACCACCCACTCCTTGTATATATTTAGCTGACCTCTTAGCCCACGCACCCATGCACCTTCAGCATCATACACCGAAGTGCTGTGCATAGCTGTGGGACTTACCCTTGTAAGAATACCCTCGAAACCAATTTTTGAAACACTAATGAAAATTATTATTATTGATACTGCTAATTTATATTATGGAGGGAAACAATCTAGCATCTGTATCTTCTGTGCGTATAGGTAATTTTTGTTACCGTACTGCTCTATTTCACAGAAAATTAATCATATATGATCCAGGATTATTCTTTCCCTGCCACTATGGGTCATACTTTTATGTATACCTCGGGAGATAATTAAGTTGTGGTATATACCAAGGAGGGACTATGTCTGATCACACTCAAATGATATATCTTCTCTGGTCTTCTTGCTCTGCCTCTGTTCTTCACTGTTTTCCTTATCTCTGATCTTCCCTGTTTTGCAATGATGGTGTTGAACACTCAGTAGATAATTGCTGAACCACTTTCGAAATTCGTTGCTTACTCGTTTTCTTACAGCTATTGTTTGAATCACTATTAGTTTTGCATCCTCAGTAAACATCTAGATATAAGATTCTATATTTCCTCTCTAAGATAATTTGCATATATATCATAAGAAGTATTCCGCTATATATACCGTAATGAATGGCTGTCAGTGAATAAACAGAAGCACAAATAGAGATTCGAACCGTGGCCCTGACACACAACAGTCGTAATGAACACCTATGTCTCAGGACCACCTGGAGAAGATTTCGGGGGTCAACGCCCCGGGGCCCAGTCTCATTAGTTAATTACAATCGTTCTGTGGATTTTTTTACATAATTTCCTAAATGTAGAACATATAAATATATAATATAATAATTGTGCAATAAAATATGATGCTGATTTGCCCCTTTCGAGAAATTCTAAGTGTGGGGGGGTGGGGCGATAAACTGCTGAGAGCAGCCGGGGGGGGACGCCGGTGAGGACGCCATGTTGAATTTAATGTGAACGGTTGTTGTAATTTTTGCACCAGGAATTCTGCGTTTTCCGTGGCCTAAATGAGATGTATCGGCCTCAGTTTCGTAATTAAGAAATTGCTGACACGTTCCTGCTGAAGAATTGGGATAGGAAATTTACGGGACCTCAAGAATCACGTATGGAGAACCAAAATAAAGGACTTCAATGAATCATTCCCAACAACACACCTTAGCAAAGTCATGCTTACACATAATTACAGTAGTTTTTGCGTTGGCCATCGTAAATTCTAGCTGCCAGGGGATAGGTTAGGGTGTGTTCCATCAGCACTGTCTTCCGACTATTGAATGGTAAGTGGTGATGTTCCCAGCAGTCTTAATCATATACAGTCCACAACAATGAACCAGAGTAGCTGGTTTTAGTATTGTAATTATTAATTTAATATCAGCTTTAGCTTTTTGTGAAGATGTAGAAGTGGGTAATCGAATAAGTTGCAGTTTCTGTGACCTACTGTGACTTAAGTCCCACTTACCTCACCCAAATTACTTGCAGGTAATAATTCAGGTAATGTCCTGTAAACCTCCTGTAGGTGATTTGGTTAATAATAATTTTTCACACGTTCATTATGACTTGTCTTGAGTTTATGGGCCACATGACTTTGTAGGAAGAAACAGTATTGTCTCAGCTGGTGCTGTCTGTGAAAACTTCATGTTGAAAGCTCATTGGTACAACTCTGGACCTGCTACTTGTTAGTGTCATGGTTCCACTCCTCGTCCATTCTTCTACAGTGAGATAATTCGTTTTCATCTAAAACTTCTTTGTTCTCGACATTTTTATTTAGTGATCGTAATTACACTTAGAGGCTTCCAATTTATCTCTTTGAATCACGAGTTCCACGACGAATTAAAAACTATATAACAGGCAATAAAACTATTAATAGTAAATAATAACTTTTACTAAAAATATTTATATATACATATATGTATATATATATATATATATATATTATATATATATATATATATATATATATATATATATATATATATTATATATATTAATATACATAAGCTGGATGAGCCATATAGATGAAACATTTTTTTATGTTTTAATTATATAAACAAGTGCATACACAAATAATAATATATAATTTAGGGATAGAACAGTAAACTAAGAGATAAACATAAATTAGTTCTGAAGTGCCCAAATACGTTTAGTGTTTTTGTAAGTACATTTACATTAATAAAAATTTCGCCTTATTATAAATAAATGCCCATATTATTGCCCGAAATGATATGCATCCTATGAGCCTTCATATTATTGTATGTTTTGTACAATAATTTAAAAAAAACTAATAATAAATATTAGTGCGTTTTGTTCACTCGTTCTTGTACTCGTTGGTTACGCGAGTACTGAAAAAATGTTGTACACAGAGTTTTTTTTTAATGCGTATTATGTTTATTATACGTAATATTTGTCTTGTGTACTGATTTAGTCTACCTCCTCTACGGTGGGTCCAGAGCCAGAGGAAGTTCCACCTGTACCACCGCTGCCTCCCTGACCGTGTATCTTGCTGGCCAGGGGCCGCCACACTCGCTCCAGCTCCTTCATTTGGTGCTCATATTCATCCTTTTCTGCCAGTTGGTTAGCGTCCAGCCAGTTCAGAGTTTCTTGAGCTTTTTCCTCAATGGATCGCTTCTCTTCGGCTGACAGTTTATCACCAACCGAAGGTTCAGAAACGGCAGACTTGACACTGAAGCACAGAGCTTCCAGCCGGTTCTTGGCTTCCACTCTTTCACGTTGTTTACTGTCGTCATCTCGGTACTTTTCGGCCTCATTAACCATTCTTTCTATTTCCTCTTTACTGAGGCGACCCTTATCGTTGGTGATGGTGATCTTGTTTTCCTTGCCAGTCGACTTGTCAGTCGCAGATACGTTGAGAATGCCGTTGGCATCGATGTCGAAGGTCACTTCGATCTGTGGCACTCCACGAGGTGCTGGAGGGATGCCACTCAACTCAAACTTTCCCAAAAGGTTGTTGTCCTTGGTCATGGCACGCTCTCCTTCGTATACCTGAATAAGCACACCTGGCTGGTTGTCAGAGTATGTGGTGAAGACTTGCTGCTGCTTGGTGGGTATTGTTGTGTTACGCTTGATGAGAGCAGTCATCACACCTCCTGCGGTCTCTATACCCAGTGACAGAGGGGCCACGTCCAGCAGCAGAACATCCTTCACTCCTTCAGACTGGTCACCATGCAAGATTGCAGCCTGCACGGCAGCACCGTAAGCCACCGCCTCGTCTGGGTTGATCGATTTGTTGAGTTCTTTCCCATTGAAGAAGTCTTGCAAGAGTTTCTGGATCTTGGGGATGCGGGTAGAGCCTCCCACCAAGACCAGTTCATGGATGCCGCCTTTATCTATCTTGGCATCTCTCAGCGCCTTCTCTACAGGCTCCAGCGTCCCTCGGAAAAGATCAGAACAAAGCTCCTCAAATCGGGCGCGTGTGATAGAAGTGTAGAAATCGATACCCTCATATAATGAATCGATCTCCACACTGGCCTGAGTGGAAGATGACAAAGTTCGCTTGGCTCTCTCACAGGCAGTTCGCAGTCGACGAACCGCTCTTTTATTAGCACTCAAATCTTTCTTGTATTTTCTCTGGAACTCCTGTTTGAAATGGTTCACCATTCTATTGTCGAAATCTTCGCCTCCCAAGTGGGTGTCTCCGGCAGTAGATTTCACTTCAAAGACACCTTCATCAATGCTAAGAATAGACACATCGAAGGTACCGCCTCCGAGGTCGAAGATCAAAATATTACGTTCCCCTCTACCACCCACTTTTTTGTCGAGTCCGTAAGCAATGGCAGCAGCAGTTGGCTCATTGATGATTCTGAGAACATTAATGCCGGCGATAGCTCCTGCATCTTTGGTAGCTTGACGCTGGGAGTCATTGAAATAGGCAGGAACTGTAATGACAGCATCTTTCACACTTTTACCAAGGAAGGCCTCGGCAGTTTCTTTCATTTTAGTTAACACCATAGAGGAGATTTCCTCAGGGTTGAAAGTCTTATTCTCGCCCTTGTACTCCACCTTCACTTTAGGTTTTCCGGCTTCGTTGACCACGGTGAAGGGCCAATGCTTCATATCGCTCTGCACTGCTGGGTCCTCAAACTTGCGACCGATGAGACGTTTGGCGTCGAACACAGTGTTGTTGGGGTTCATGGCCACCTGCAAAATTATCAGTATTATTAGTTTCATTATGTATTTGATATTATTTATTTATTATGTAATAAAGTTGCAAAAACAACGGATATATTCTCAGCAAGAGGTAGAGAAGGTGTGGCAATTAACCTGGTTCTTGGCAGCGTCACCGATGAGTCTCTCTGTATCTGTGAAGGCGACATAGGAAGGTGTCGTCCTGTTACCCTGGTCGTTGGCGATGATCTCCACTTTGCCGTGTTGGAACACTCCCACACACGAGTAGGTAGTGCCTAGGTCAATGCCAATAGCCGGAGCTGCCATCCTGCTGAATAAGTGGTGTTAGTGGCAAGCATACAATCACATTCCATAATGTATTTTAGAATTACGAAGTTGCTAGAGTTCTATTTATATATTAGTCGGTGATTTTCTTAAAGCCTGCAATTTACTCTATGTAATTCGGTAGTATATTGTGCATGTGAGCAGTCGAACTCGGAATATTTTTAAAGCAATGAAAAACTGGTAGTTAGAAGCAACCTTTCGTAATACTTTTTACCTCCAAAGAGGTGTGTTGATGCTTATGAGAGATTATTGACCCAAATAATTAGAGCTACCCCCATCCCCCCCCCCTCTTTGTATTTGAATGAAACCTCATTACCCCCAATGTGTTAATTCCTTCCCAGTGACTACAAAAGCAGTATGTACGAACCTCTCGGTTAATTTCTCTGGCTTTGAACGTTGCATTAAAGATTTTAATAGCTACTAAATATTAATTTTTGAGGCTTCTCAGACACTATTTCTTTCATATTTGCACAGTATATCTTCGAACCTCTGCTAGAAGCCAACAGGGGGGAGCGGATGGCATTATCAATTGAGACAGCTATAATGTATCTCTAACAATCTTGCTTGTGTTACGGGGCGAGGCGAAGGGGTAGGAATGTTTTATATAAAGGAAAACGTAAATTAAGTGGCAGCAGGGAGTGACATCAACAAACAACTTTATTCACAAGTGAATGAAGAACAAAAAATGCACTATACCGCGACTGGTACAATACACAAATAAACGGCTCATAGAATGACACTTATTGACGACGTTTCGGTCCGACTAGGAACATTAACTAGTTATACAAGCTATTTATATGCCAGTGGGGGCAGGTTGTGGCGTCTGGCTGCGAGTTTCTGCCTATTAGCAAACGGTAGACCGAGCCCCTAACCACTCTTTGTGCTGAGTGACTCAGATGTTTTACCGCTTCATATAAATAAATTAATAATTGTAGTGTCCTTTAGTGACCTCCATGAGCTATCCTTTTATATCTAGCACCCTAATTAGGCACAGCTGCCACCACGAGAGTGCCACCATGAATAAAGTAGGATTTTTTTAAATTATTATTATCTCAAATCATGTAATACATACATGTACTTCTATATGAATTTCGTAAGTTACTTCTACATGGTGTGAGGTTATCTTGCATATTGATGTTACCCTCAAGGTGGTGATTTTATCCTCATGATGTTGATGTTACCACCAGGATGTTGATGTTATCCCCAGGATGTTGATGTTACCCCCAGGATGTGAACCACAACCTAGGTACCTATTTGTCCTGCTAGGTGGGCCGGGGTTGCAGATGTAAGCAGACTAATACTCAGGTACCTATTTTTACTTATAGGTGAACTGAGGCAACAGGTTTAAGGAGATTTACCCATTTACACATTGTCCTATAAAAACAAAACAGATCACAAACAAACGGCTTGGTTGCCCATGGCTAACCAGTACCATTCTGAAATCCATTGACAAGAAACACCAATATGAAAAGCAATATAGACAAGGCTTAATACACAAAGATATTCTTAAACACTATTCATCAGCTCTCACCAAAGTAATAAAAAAAGCCAAACAACTATACTACTCCAGTAGATTCACAGACACTAGAGGAGATATAAAAAAGACCTGGAAAACACTCTCTCAGATTCTAGGGACCCACAAACTGAGAAAAACCAAGAATATTGTCCTAACTAAACCTAATGAAACACCACTACATCCCACTGACACAGCTAACAAGATAAACGACTTCTTCTCAACCATAGGATCTAATCTCGCCAGTTAAAATCCCACATACCAATGCCCATGCCGGGGACTACCTAGATGGGAATTCCCTAATTCCTTCTATCTTGCACCAACTGAGCCCACGGAAGTCACCGAGATTATAAAGTCACTTAAAAATAACTCGGGGAATCTGTCTCATGTCCCACCATTACTGTACAAGCGAGCGGCCCAAAGTCCTTTCGCATGCTATTTCATTACTCTTTAACAGTCACTAGAGACTAGCACCTTCCCGAAACTACTCAAGATGGCAAGGGTTACACCAATACATAAAGGTGGTGATCCTACAGACTTAAACAACTAAAGGCCAATATCTAACTTACCATTGCTATCCAAAATCTTTGAGAAACTCGTGCACAGGAGACTGTATTCATTTATAACGGCTCAAAACATACTCAACCCCTGCCAATTTGGATTCAGGAAAAATAAAAGTACTAATGATGCAATCATAAAAATGCTAGATCTGCTTTACACAGCATTGGAAAATAAGGAATATCCACTAGGAATTTTTATTGACCTAAGAAAAGCTTTTGACACAGTAGACCACGACATCCTACTCCACAAACTTGATCATTACGGTATAAGAGGCCATGCGCTTGCTTATTTCAAATCTTACATTACTAATAGGTATCAGTATGTCACCATTAAAGACACAGCATCAGCAACACGGCCACTTGATACTGGAGTTCTGCAGGGAAGTGTCCTTGGTCCCCTGCTCTTCCTCATATACATCAATGACCTTCCAAACGTATCCCAACACCTGAAACCCATTCTCTTTGCTGACGACACGACTTATGTCATCTCTCACCCTAATCTTGCCACCCTCAACACCACTGTGAATGAGGAGCTGATCAAAATATCGACTTGGATGACAGCCAATAAACTTACGCTTAACACTGACAAAACCTGCTATATTATGTTTGGTAGCAGTGCAGGAGATGCACAAATTAACATTAAGATTGACAACACTCGAATTACCAGAAATAATGGGGGCAAATTCCTAGGCTTATACCTTGACAACAACCTGAATTTCAGCACCCATATCCAGCATATAACCAAAAAAAGTATCCAAAACGGTTGGGATCCTCTCCAAGATACGATACTACGTGCCGCAAAATGCCCTTCTCACACTATACCACTCACTTATTTATCCATACCTCACCTATGCTATTTGTGCTTGGGGATCAACTGCAGCAACACACCTAAAGCCAATAATCCAACAAAAAGCTGCAGTAAGAATAATCACTAAATCCCATCCCTGGCAACACACCCCCCCCACTCTTCATAGACCTAAACTTACTCCCTGTTCAGTACATCCACACTTACTACTGTGCAATCTACATCTACAGGCCTTAAAAATCTAATATCAACCTTGACCTAAAACGCTTTCTTGATAGTTGTGACAGAACCCACAGGCATAACACCAGACACAAACATCTCTACGACATTCCCCGTGTCCGACTAAACCTTTACAAAAATTCAATGTATGCCAAAGGCCCTAAAATCTGGAATACCCTACCTGAGAACTCTAGAACTGCAGACACATTCATCACCTTCAAAACTACCATTAGAAAACATCTTATCTCCCTGATACACCCTGTCTACTAACTACAAAGAATACCACCTGGTGGTTCACACTTTTCACTCACTGACTCATTTGACCATAAACAGAAATATTAATCTCAATCTTAAAATAATGAATCCTGTGATACTCCAATACTGAAACTATGGACTGTGCCAAAACAAAAGGATTTACATTGCTAAACTCACAAACTAGTATTTAGTCACTTAGCCATAATACCAACTTACCTCATAATTTGTAATATTTTACAATTAAGAATAAAACTAAGTCTGCCCGAAATGCCTAGCCATGCTAAGCGTTCTAGTGGTACACTCTGTAATCACTATTTTACTACATGTAAACCACACAATAACCAAATTTCTGTAAACTGCATTGTAATCCTTATAGAGAATAAACTTTGAATTTGAATTTGAATAGTTCTCGCTCGGCTCACCAGTGAGCCAAGGGTCACCCCTGACCCCTGTGACAGATGAGGGAACTATCTGGATACCACCATCACCGCCACCACCATCATCGCCACCGCTATTACCACAAGCATTACCACCACCCTACCTGGAGGGTATTCCGGGGATCGACGCCCCCGCGGCCCGGTCCATGGCCAGGCCTCCTGGTGGATCAGGGCCTGATCAAGGAGGCTGTTACTGCTGGCCACACGTAGTCCAGCGTACGAACCACAGCCCGGCTGATCCGGCACTGACTTTAGGTATCTGTCCAGCTCCCTCTTGAAGACAACCAGGTGTCTATTAGTAATTCCCCTTATGGCTGGTGGGGGGCTGTTGAGCAGTCTTGGGCCCCGGACACTTGTTGTGTTTTCTCTAATGGCGCTCCTACTTTTCACTGGGGGTATGTTACATCGCCTGCCAAGTCTTTTGCTTTCGTAGGGAGTGATTTCTGTGTGCAGATTAGGGACCAGTGCCTCCAGGATCTTCCAGGTGTAAATTATGATACATCTCTCTCGCCTGCGCTCCAGTGCGCACAAGTACCCTGATTACTAGTTATTAACAACTGATAGCAGGTAACCCCACCATGGTTATTATGTGGGCACCTAGGGACTGGGAGGTATTCCGATTTGATCCGAGGAGAGGAACGGAAGCTCCAGTTCCTGAAATCAAGAACCCTTCAACATTATGGCATTGCCTCTCTCCCTAAAGAGAAAGAACGTTTGACGCGACACAAGAGATCAACACACGAGTCTCTGCTCAAAATAATCTCTAAATTGATCCAAGGAATTGGAGTTACCCTCAACTTCCTCGGATCAAACGTGATTGCCTCCCATTACCAAGGAACTTAATGACTCTCTAATAAGTCAGTTTACCAGAGACAATATTAAAGTGACCTGATATTATTATTATTATTAATACACGAGGGACCTTTAATACCTGTTCACCACCGGTCGAGAATACATTAATCCCTAAAACAGATTAAACACGTAGTATATATGCATTCATACACCACTCGTATGTATATACAGTGAGAGTTATACGCCTTTGGGTATATATGAGATATATACATGTCTCGATGTATATAACCACATATCTCGATGAGGTGATAAAAAAAATTTATTATTTTGATTTCCTGGCTTATTTCAGTAGACCCTTAAAATTAATAACATGACCGACTGGTAACTTGTAATACACTAAACATTCTGATATTAAGTTCTGTATTGTATTTCACGAAGAACTGAACCCCTGAGTGGTTATTTAGCGAGTTACTTGCTTCTAGCAAACAAATTCGCTTAATTAGTGTATAGTGCACTTACTTTCGGTATTCAGTGGTGTACTGCAGTAATGAGTATCCTGCACCTCACTCCTCCTGACTGCTTCTGGCTGCCTCTTACACCTATATATGTGTGCTCTTTTTTACTGAATTTGCTAGAACATGCGCCAAGAGCTGCCAGCTCTAGATGACGTCACGGCAGTCTGGTGATTGGTCGAGCTGTTCATTGGGGGGGAGCACACTATGACGTCACGGCAGTCTGGTGATTGGTTAATAATAATAATAATAATATCTTTATTTACTACAAGTACATGTACAAGGTATACAAGCCTAACTGACATCAGTGACATACTACTATATAGAAAGCCCCTTGTTATGCTGAGCATTTCGGGCAAATTAGGTCAGTTTTGTCCCAGGATGCGACCCACACCAGTCGACTAACACCCAGGTACCCATTTTACTGATGTGTGAACATAGACAACCGGTGTAAGGAAACACGTCCGATGTTTCCACCCCTTCGCCGGGAATCGACCCCGGACCCTCACCGTGCAAAGCGAGGACTTTTGCCACCAGGCCACGGGGCACCGTAAATAATAAATAAGTTTATTGAGACACAGGTACACATAAGTACATTTATCATACATAGTATAAATTACCTAGGATAATCCAAAAAAAAATCAAAGTGACTTATTTCCATTGGTGTCCTTGATTTCCGGTGAGGGATTCAACTCATCATAGGTCACAATCGATTCGGGAAAACTGACTGATCCTTACTTGTCATTCGCTGCCTGACCACGGTCGAGTGAGGTTGTGCGCTGCACCCCTCTGCTGTTCAGGCGAGCTACCTTGTATCAACATGGCGCGAGAGTGTGAGGAGGCGCGTAAATACCATTGGTATTGAGCTGTTTCGTGGGGCGATTTCACCCCTTTCTTCAGTGCAAGTCTTACTCCCGACAATCTTAGGGGACCTATGGCATCCAGGACGATGAGGTTTTATGGTGTACCCCTGAATGGGGCTTATAGAATCTTCGTAAAACCCTGAATTCCACGTCCGTGTATGAGTCTTTGGTGACGGGGTTTTCCAAGACGTGAGTCTTGACGCTACTCCAGCTGTGAAGGTGCTTTTTGATCGACGTATCTCCCCCACTTTACGTGGGTTTAAGATACGTAATGTCCCATTTGAGGCAGATGAGGCTGACGTAAGGAGTGTTTTTGAGACATATGGAACCGTACATCTGGCACAAAAGGGCAAGTGGACGGCAGGTGCTTACATGGGACGTCCGGAGGGTACCTTTTCCCTGAAGATGACTCTGAGACATCCCATACCGTCTTACGTCGTGTTGGAGGACTTCAGGACGCAAGTTATGGTATCGTATGCCGGACAGAGACGTACGTGCAGAATATGTGGGGCATACGACCATATGGCGGCAGAGTGCGTGAAGCTGAGGAGGGCGCCAGCGCAAACTGGTGAAGCACCAGTTACCAGCGTGATAGCTGTTGAGAGCCCAGTGCGCAAGCAAGGGCCTGGGGGGCTTGTGGAGTGAAGAGGTGGAGGATTCCAAAGAGGAGAATGGAAATGTGTGGGGTAAGCTGTGATGTAAAAGGATCTGTTACTACACAAAGGACAAGTGCAGAAGTGCAAGTGCAGGAGGAGGTGCAGGCTCTAGAGGAAGAGCTTCAGGAGGTGTTAAGGACATTGACACCGCCTGCAGGGATGTTGTTCCTGAGCTGGTGAGGACACGGCGGTGCCTGTAGAGGAATGTAAGGATAAAAAAACTTAGCAGGGTTGAGGGGCCCAAAACTAATAAGAGAGAGTTGTCGCCGTGTGCTGTGGAACGGGCGTGGTGGAGGTTGAGGTTAAACGTGGGGGAAAACCCTCAGAAGATAACATGGATGTAGAGGGCATCACGAGGAAGAGAGCAGCGGCGTCAGACTCAGATGATGTCCTGACGCCGGCGCAGAGGTCTGGGAGGAAGGAAGAGCAATGTCGAAGCAGTCCGATAAGAGGCATCGCAAAAAAGGGGAGGGGTTAAATGGTGTGAAGCTTGTGCTGGCTCTGGGGCAGGAGGCCCTGGGATGAATGAAGAGAGGAGGAAGGGTTGGAAACTATAAAGAGGCCTTAGGTGTATGACTGTGAACGTAAATGGACTGTGTAATAGTGTGAAGAAGGAATGGTTTCGAATGTTTCTGTATAAATATAGGGTGGATGTAGTGTTCCTGAAAGAACACAATTTCAAGGAGGGAAGAGTGCTCGAGGTGGAGGGGTTTTCAGGTCATGACTTGCCATCTGCACGTCTGAAAGGTGGTGTGGGTATATTGATCAGGGAGGCAAGCCCATTTGTGTTACTAAAAAGTGGGGGGGGAGGAGGGGGAAGAGTATTGCGCGTGGATGGGTGGTGGATGGACAGCGGGTATTTTTTGTATGTGTGTATGCACCAGCGGAAAATGATGTGAGGGTAAAAAGGGATTTTGTATGTGAAGAACTAGTTTTCTTCTTACGTGGTTTCCCCTGCAGTGGCCATCTTTTGGTGGCGACGGGAAAACTGCGTTTTTTAGGAGGGCTGACGTGGAACCAAAAGGGGCGGGCACTGTCGGGGGCCCTTGCGAGATCTTTTGAGGGATATTCAGTTGCGGGATGCGGTTGGAGGAGGGGCGTGGGAGGTAGAGCACACTTTTGAAAAGAGGGGGTTACGCTGCTAGGTTGGATAGGCTGTAATATCTCAAGGGGTTGGTTGACATTTTTCCGTACAATAGAATAGCTTATTCGGATCATCGGGCGGTTGTAGCGAGGTGGCGTGGGAGTCACTAGCAGGTATATCTAGGGGATATTGGAAATTAAATAAAATGTGTGTTGGGTTTATGAGGAGGGGATAGAGGGATTTGCAACGCTGGGGAGGGTTTACGTGGAGATAAAAGGGGTTAGAGGGGATGTGGTGATGTGGTGGGAGGGTGGGGCTAAAGAACGGATTAAGCAAATTACGTAAAGGAAGGGAACGTAATCAATTCTTTAAATTTTGGGCTTGCTAACTATTTGGAGGATAGATTACGGGGTTGTTATGCGAGGGGGGCGGTGGCGGGAAACTTATCCAAGGGATAAAAATTATGGCAATTAAAGGGGGGCTGGTGAGGTACAGGATGAGAGGTTCCAAGCGGTGCGGGTACAGGCGGGGGGAAGAGGTGTTAGGGGGCGATAGACCTTAAATCGTGCGTATTGGAAAGGCAGAAACAAAGACAGCAGGCAATGACTATTCCATGGTTGGAGGTTCATGAATCGATAGGAGGTACAGGGAGGGGCAGGTCATACAAGCTAGGGAAAGGAAATGGGGGCGTTTGCTGACAAGTGGTATGAGAAGTACTGGCAACGAGAAGGGGTAGAGGAGGGGGTTTTTTAGAACAGGTGTGTGGGAGTGTGGTATGTCAGTTGCGTAACAGTGATAGGGAAGCACTGGGTGGCGAAATAACTGAGTGGAAATTGGAGGGCTTTAAGTGGAATTGCGAAAGGGCAAAGCACCGGGAATTTGATGGACTCCCGGTAGAGTTTTTCAGCAGCATTGGGAACTATTGAGGCATTTTCTGGTTAGGTTATTAAATTGCATGAAGGAGAGAGGTGAGCTGGGTGAGAAGCAGGCAACGGCTGTCGTTGTATTGGTCCGAAGGGTAAGGGGCAGCATACGCTTCGGGATTCCCGGGGCGATCTCGTTGTTATGCCCCAGATTATAAATTGTTTGCGAAGATTTTGGGAAATCGGGTCAAATGTGTGGTAGGGCGGGGTAGTATCAAAAACTCAGTTTGGTTTGCCAGGGAGGTCTATGGTGGAGGGGCATGGGTTTTCTTAGGGATTTCGTGGAGCAAAAGGGGGGGGGAGGGAGGGAGGTTTTTGGGGGCGCTCGATTGGGAAGGGGCATATGATAGAGTGGATCGGAAAGCATTGAAAGCCCATCCTCAGGGTCAGGGGTTTGGGGAAGAAATAGTGGGCTGGGTTGAGGCGTTGTATGGAGGTGCAATGGCGAGGGTACAGATTAATGGTCGATTGGGTGGGAAAATTGTAATGGGTAGGGGACTTAGGCAGGGGTGTCCTATGTCACAATTATTGTTTTTCATGCGTACAGGACCCCTTTTATAGATTGATGGAGCAGCGTATGTGTCACGTAGAGGGACCAGGGTGTGAGGTTGCGAGGGTTTGGCCAGTGATATTGGGTATGTGGATGATACAACTGTTCTGATCAGGGAGGGGATGTCAATGGACACATTAGACGGGGTAGTACAAATGTTCGCAGGGGCAACTGGTTGAGGGTAAATTTAGATAAATCCATGGCATGGGGTTAGGAGCTTGGGCGGGTAGGGTTGATTGGGGGATGTGCCGTTTGTGAGGAAGCAGGTGAATTCGTAAAAACTGTGGTCTTATTTAAAGCAGACGATCTACCTGTGGCCGCATGGAAAACTCGCCCTTTGGATGGTAGAAAGGATTCAGGGACGCTTGGGTGCATTGCGACCTTATCATTTGACCCTTGTGCAAACGTGCCATTGTTGTTAATATCTTACTGTATAGCAAAGTATGGCACGTGGCAGCCGTGTTCCCATTAACTGGGCCAGCTATAACGAACATACTTAGGAAGGTTTTTAAATTCTTGTGGGGTTCGAGCTGTGATTGGATTAAGAGAGATGTGGTAATGTTACCTGTAAGTAAGGGGGGGCTGGGATTGCTGGACTTAAAGCGGAGGGTCAAATGTGTCTTCATTAAAAGGGAGGTGATGAGGGAAAGTGTGGGTGGGGGGGGGGTTGGCCCAGGATCCATAACAGATTGCAACGGATGATAAAAGGAGTGAGTTGCATGAGTGTGAAACTGTGTTGAGGGCTCGGCGTGGGATCGAGGCCAGCAAAGGTTAAAATAGGTAGGTGTGGGAATTGTTAGCCGGGAGGGTTGTAGCGCCTGAGAGGGAATTTTCCCCATGTATGCATGGGGGAAATATATGGAATAGGTTGAGTAGGATGAGGTTGCAAACCCTTTGTGTTCGGGGTGTAATGTATCGTTTTCTGCACGGCATTTTACCGTCGGGTGTGGTTCTACGGGATAGACGAGTCGTTGACGGGGGGGAGTGTGGGATATGTGGTGGGGAGGAGTCGGCT